ACCCTATAGACCCTATAGATCCTGTAGACCCTATCGACCCTATCAACCCTGTAGACCCCATAGACCCTATAGACCCTGTAGACCCTGTAGACCTTGTGCTAAGTACATTAATTCTCCTCCCAGAATGCAGAGCCCAAGGCAAGAGTTTATGTGCAGTAGCTCATGCCAGGATGTGGGCAAGGGGAAGGATTTGGAGGCCATGAGGAGAGAGGTGATGTGCTCATGCTCCTTGCTGCTGATCCAGGGGACTCAATCTCCCCAGGACTGTCTGAGAAGTCACCTTACCCTTGTCTCCCCAAGGAGGGAGAGAGTCGCACTGCTCTTCTGGCTCCCATTCTGTGGTGGCCAGGGATCACCCTGTGTGATAGGAACTCCTTGCACACGCAGGTCACAGGCATGTGAGTGGCTTAAAGCTTCCTGGGCATGTCTTCCTGCAGCTCTAGGGCAGGCAGTGAGACATATGACATTTTAGCTGAGGTGAGGTGGGACTGGTGATAGCTGCAGGAGACTGGGGGCCGCAGCACTGGCAGGGATGAGCAGTGGGGGGAGATGGGAGGGAGGCCACTGAGCTGTCTGTGCCTCCTGCCAAGCCTTGGACATGCCACTGGGCCTTGTGAGCCAGCTCAGGTGTTACAAGAGGGAGTTTGGTGGCACTCAGTTGTAGTAATAGTTGTCCTCTGTCCCTTTGGCTGTTCATTCTGGATTCCTTCCCCCATGCCAGCATTTGGTTTCTGAGGCTCCCTTGCCTGGTGGAGGTGGTGGTAAAGACTTTGGCCCCACAGGTGTCTGGACCCTTGTCTGGCTTGCCTTTGCTGGCTACAGCCCCGAGGTAGCAGTTGCTACCAGGGCCACTAGAGAGTCCCTGGGCTCCCAACTGCCCTTCTTCCCTGGTCCCTTGCTTGGGTCCAGTTCAATGACTTCCTCCTTTCTGACCTTCTCATTCACTGGTGTGGGGACTACAGCATGAGCAGGGAGGACCACAGAACGCATGGTGAAACTAGGCCCACTGTGGGAGCAGAATTTTGCTTCCTACAGTCTAAGACCTCAGCGAGACAGAAGTACCAATTCTAGAGTGGCTTTCCAAGGGCTGGCGAGAGAGCTCAGTGGGCTAAGTGCCTGCTTAGGCAAGCACAGGGACTGGGGTTCAATCCCCAGCACCGCATGCAGCACTGGCCCTTCCTATGGATGCACCAAGCTGGCCACCGAGACCAGGCGTGGTGGTGCTTGCCTGTAATCACAGCACTGGGGAGGCTGAAAACAGGAGGATCACTATGAATCCAAGCTGCGTAGTGAGATCCTATACCAAATACATAAAAAAAAAGAAGAAAGAGTGGATTTCCAAGAATAATAGGGAGTGTGGCCAGGCTTTCTTCCCCTGCTGTTCCAGCAGTAGGTATTATCACACGACACCTGTCATTTGTTCAGAGTATGTGCCCCAGGATCACAGGTAGTGTACCACTCCAGGGGCAGTTTCCCTGTGGTGACTCCCAGCTGGCCTTTAGGATGCCGTCCTGTCATTAATTGAGAATCAGCAGGCCCTTGGCTGTGTGCTTGGGTCAGACCTCCATCATCACAGGAGATGGGGTCCCAGGTTAGGGGTCCTTGGTGGGCACCTGGGTAGTGACACTGTTGATGTCAGGGAAGCAGATCCTCCTGGGGATGAAGAGGAAGGGCTCTGGCGACCGGTGTGTCAGCAGTGGGTGCCTGCCCCTCTTGAGCAATGAGCCCAATCAGGGGGCTCGGAGCTGTCTGTAGCTGGGAGGTTTGGTGTGTGGTGGTAGCCAGGTGGACTGACAGGAAGCACAGGCTCTTGGGCCCGTGCCCTGTGTCACTTTCTTTGTTGCTATGACAAAATCTGACACCTATGACTTAAAGGAGGAGACATTTAGTTGGGCTCAGAATTTTAGAAATTTCAGCCCACGTTTGGTAGGCTCAAATGCAGAAAATGGCACGGCGCAAAGGCCTGGGCGGAGGAGAGCTGCTCACATCATGGTGGGCAGGAGGGAGCCAGGGAGGGAAGGGGCCGTTCCTTGGCACACCTGCAGTGACTCGCCTCTCCTGACTGGGCCTTGTTGCCACTGAGCTCAGCAGTGCGTGAATCCACCAATGAGTGCAGTGCTCTGTGGTCCGGTCGCCTTCTGAAAGCCCCGCCCATGAAGGCCGAGGGCAGGGCATGTTCCTGGGCAGCTCATTTTGATGGGCCCAGCTGCCCTGCTTGTGGACTGCTGCTGAATTATCTCCTTTCAGTTGGCTCAGGGAGTCATGAGAGTCGCTCCCTGTGGGTATATGGTGACACTCGCTTCTTCTATTTCATTCATCTTGTTTAGTTCCATACAGGCTTTACTGGAAGTCATATATTGGTATTTGCATTTATTGCTATTACATAGTATATATTAAATGATCTATTCCTTCAATTCTGATGTTTTTTTTTTTTTTGCTTTATGAATTTTTGGGCTATCTTATTAGGGGCATATGTGTTTATTATGCATAATTATATTGTAGCAGTGGATGAGCCCCCACAAAAGGGAGCAAAGATAAGCCCCCACAAAAGGGACTGAGCGAGGAAAGAACAAGGGAGCTTTTATCGCAGGCTCCGTCCAACTGATGCCCTGGCTTTGGGTCTGGACTCCCAGTTGTCAGGACCTGCCTGAGCTTTGCTTTCAGGTTATATACTTTTCAGGTTTCCATAGTAACCACATTCCCTCATCTTCAGGAATTTTGCAAGAATCTTTACACTTCCCAGACACTGTCGGCATCTGTCTGCCATGGGGCAGTGTGGCTTAATGTCTGCCCTGTTCTCCAAGTTGTCCTAACTATTTGTTCCTATTTTATGACCCTGGTTTTCTTTAAGTGAGTTTAGGGTTAGTGACACAGGAGGGAATGAAGGAGTGAGTTTACCTATAGTTTAAACTGAACTTCAGTGGCCCTCCTTTAAAATGTGGTCCCTTGGGGGCCGGGGAGATGGCTCAGTGGAATAAGCACTTCCCTGGCAAGCACAAGGGCCTGAGTTCAATCCCGGTTCTGCCAAAAAAATAAATAAATAAATAAATAAATCTAAAATGCAGTCCCTTTTGCCCCACCAATATCTTCTTGATGGGAGGAGCCTTTATCATTATAAAATATCTTTCATTTCCCCTAGTAACCACATTTACTGGCATTTCTCCTCCTACAATTCCTTTTGGAAATTTTATCTCTGTCTTCATTACTTGTAGCTTGAATATGAAATTCCTAGGTGTGGTTTCCTTGGGAATTTGTCCTGCTTAGTGATTTCTGAGCTTCCTGGATCCTGGGCTCCTGAGTATGCCCTTCACCAGCGCACCTCTGCCGCCTGCTGCCCTGTGCTCCGGGGTGACACAGGAAGACTGGCTGAGGCTGGAGTGTGGAGAGTCCCTTAGCCCGCATCGGTTAAGCTCTGGGTAAGTCAACCTGAGCTGGGCTTTGCTAAAATCACTTCCCATGAGGGCAGATGTTTGTAAAAGAGGACAGAGCACTCAGGGTATATTTCAAAACTAAAAATGATTGCTTCCTCCCTTCTCCCTGTTGGCAGCAGGAGGGGTTGTTCTCCGGTCTTCATTCTGAAAATCTGGGGTCTGTGTGTGTGTGTCTGTGTATGGGGGAAGTCCTGGATGTTCAGCTTATGAAAGTCGGCTGCTCTCCAGATTCTAGTTTGGGGGCTGCACTTTTGCCCTGTGAGCCCACTTCTGCGATGGATCCAGGCCGTTTGTTGTGTGGTTTGTTGAGCTTTATTTTTTATTGCTGTGAGGATGGGAGTGCCAGAGTCCTTACCCAGCTCCTTACAGGTCAGGATGGAAACTAAAGCCCCTACACCCCGGTGTCTCCCAAAGCCACGCCAAAGAAATGTTCGTTCATTCTACTCTTTGTATTGTTTTTGTTGTTGTTGGTTTTTGATACAGGGTGATCTTCCTGTCTCAGCCTCCTCAGTGCTGGGATTACAGGTGTGCACCACCATGCCCAGTTCCAGGCCCGACACGATATGTGGTACTGGGGATCAAACTCAGGACCTTGCGCTTGCCAGTCAGGCATTTATGCCGCCAGGCTATCTTCCCAGCCCCCATTCTACTCTTTCAAAACTGGTTTTGTCAAGAGCATCTGTGTCTGTGTATTGCTAATCCAAAGGTCAGCCTGTGGACAGCATTGACACAGCTGCCCCCCTCTTGGTAGGGTCTCTTTGTGATCCTCCTGGCTAAGCTTCTTGAGGGCTGGGATTACAGGAGTGCACATACCTGGCTGGGCACTTCTCTTTGGACACAGTATCTTTCCTAGCATGTGGGCCATCCTTTCTCAGTCTTTCTGCACCTGCGACTCCTCCTTCTGTGTCTCTTCCTGGTCACCCCTCACCTCCTTGGTCTCTAACCTGGGAGGACTCTAACATTGGGAAGTTAGACTTTCTTTCTTTGGTCTGCATGGCTTGACATATCTATTCCATTCCCAACTCACAGTCTGGTTTCTTCAGATTACAGATGGAGTCTTACCTGGACAATTGCAGGGGCATCTCGCCTAGCTTCTTGCTTCTGCCTTGCCCCCCAAACTCAACACATAAAACAGGACAGTCCTGTTAAAATAAAGTCAGACCCTGTCCCTACTCTTTTCAGAATCCTCCGGTAGCTTCTCATCTCGTGCAGAATAAAAGCCAAAGGATTTTTTCTCTACTCCTTGAGGTGATCGGCCAAGCTCCCTCCTGATCCTCCTTTCGAAGCCTCGTTGGCCTTTCTGTGCCAGGTCTCTGTCACCACATGCTGCTCCCTGTGCCTGGAGCAGATAGCTGTCCTCGGGGTGCACTCCCTCACCCTGTGGGTCTGTGCTTCAGGATTGCCTGCTTGTGCGTGGGACACTCTGCCTTTCCAATCTTGCCCATTTTTCCTCCCCCTTTACCTGTTGCTCATCCCATCTCCTCTGTGTGTAGTTCATTCATTCAATACACAGTGATCAGAGGCCTCCCCTGTCCTGGGTTGTGTAGGTTCTGTAAATCATAGCAGTAAGAACAGGCCTGGTCACCGCCCGCCTGCTCTTGTTCACCTGAGCAAACCCTGCCCGGCCATCCAGCAGAGATGTGTTAATTAGGAGTCTTGGTTACCAGTGGCAGGAAGTCACTGTCACAAACAATAAACTTGTTGCTCGGATAATTGAACACTACATTGTGAGGCTCCAAGCAGGGACCGGGGTTCGATCCCCCACACCACATGCCACCCCAAACCCACCCCTGGGCACACTGAGCTGGCCACCGAGACCTGGTGTGGTGGCGCACACCTGTAATCTCAGCAGTGGGGAGGCTGAAACAGGAGGATCACTATGAGTCTGAACTGCCTAGTGAGACCCTGTACCAAATAATTAAAAAAAAAAAAAAAGATATCTGTTGCAGCCCCAGCGTTGCATCCTGTCCTCTCTGGATGATCTCAGAAAGTCTCCATGCTTTTGCTGAGGGAAGATGAATTAGGTCTCAGGCAGGAAGAACTGAGTGGTCCAGGTCTAATGGTAGTTCCAGCAGACCTTCCCTCCCAGTTAGAGGCCAAGCTTTCCTGTCTGAGCATCTTGCTAATAGAGAAGAACAGGGGGACTGCCAGAGTGTGGGATGGGGGCTCAGGGACTCTTCCCCTCCTCTCTCCAGGTCCCCATGTCCATGTGCTCCAAAAGCTGCCAGCAGGGACAGATCAAGAAGAACGTGGGCATCCACCCCTGCTGCTTCGAGTGCATCGACTGCCTACCGGGCACCTTCCTCAACCAGACCACAGGTGCAGCTCGTGGCCCAAGGCCCTGCCCGCCCCACCCTGCCCCGCCCCACCCCTGGGTCTGCTAGAGGAGGCCAGAGCCCCAAAGCCAGGGGCCATGTCCAGGTGGTCCTCTTCTAGACCCTGAGTCTCTGATGTGGAGTGAAATCCTCCAGATAAGCTGGTGCTGGGCAGGGGGGAAGGGAAGAGGGGGAAACACTGTCTTAAGGCAAGCACAGATCTGATCTGATCTGATCCCCAGTGTGCATGCATGTGCATGTGCCCATCTGTGCGCGCACACACACATACACACACACACACACACACAAGTGAGTGTGCATGCACAACCCAGAACCCAGGGCCTAGGGGTGTCTGGCCAGAGAACATCCACTGGATGATGAATGAATGATTGAGTGAATGAATGAATGAACATCCACCATCATTGTGGCCATACTGGCCGTTCTGGGCTTCCTCAGCATCTTGACCATTCTGGTCACGTTCTGGAGACACTTCCAGATGCCCATGGATCTCCAACAGCAGGACGGCCCTGGCAGGTAGGGATGGTTCCCGATCCATCTCTCTGGCCTTCCAGTGCCTCAGATGATTCAGAACATACCACTGATGCTCAGATGATCCATACAGAACGACTTTAGCTGGCCTTCTGTTTGTGAGACAGGGCCTTGCTCTGTAGTCCGGGCTGGCCTTGAACTCACAGCTCTCCCATCTCAGGCTCCTGAGTGCTGAGATTTTCTTGGTTTGCCCTGATACACCCCAAACTCTGGTAAAATGGGGGCAACCTCATCTCTGTGTTCACCTCAGTACTTAGCACAGTTCAGAATTGAGTTGAAAAAACAACCCTTTCCTTTTAAACTGGTTGCTGAGTAAGCTCAGCGGGCGATTTCGTACCGTACCCTGATCAAAGCGTGCCTAAGTGCGGAGTGGAGCAGGTGCTGGGTACAAGTCTGCGGAGGAGTTTCCCTGCCTGCCTCGCTTAGGTGCCCGGAGGCCGGAGGCTGGGGCTGAAGATCTCCATGGTCTGCCCCTCAGGTCCGTGTCATAGTGGACGGAGCTCGAAACAGTGTTTATTACAGGACTCGGGGAAGGAGGGGTGCAGCGTCTCTTCCCCCGGAGATGAGGACTTTGGAGAATTTACGCGCAGTACGCTGAGTGCCGACACAAATCCTGCCCCTGTAACTTCCTGGCTTGGTGATTTCAGGCAAATTAATTAATGCAGCCAAGCATTTCCCCAGATGAGCCGCGGGCCCCTGGGGGAATCTGATGAGCAGATGTGTGTGAGAGCGTTGGTGAGCCCTGGCTGGGGTGTTAGTGTTTAGTTTCTCTCTGGCCCTGGGGGCTGGGCTTCGATGACGTCACTTCCGGGGATCTGGGTCCGCTGACCCCAGTCACTGTGGGCTCTTGCAGATGAATATGAGTGCCAGTCCTGCCCACCAGCCATGTGGTCCCACAGGAAGGCCACCTCCTGCTTTAAGCGGAAGCTGGCCTTTCTCGAGTGGCACGAGGCGTCTACCATCTTCGTGGCCGTGCTGGCCGTGCTGGGCTTCCTCAGCACCTTGGCCATTCTGATCCTGTTCTGGAGACACTTCCAGACGCCCATGGTCCGCTCAGCCGGCGGCCCCATGTGCTTCTTGATGCTGCTGCCCCTGCTTCTGGTGTTCGGGATGGTGCCTGTGTACGTGGGGCGGCCCACGGTCTTCACCTGCATCTGCCGCCAGGCCTTCTTCACGCTCTGCTACTCCGTGTGTATCTCCTGCATCGCCGTGCGCTCTATCCAGATTGTGTGCGTCTTCAAGATGGCCAGCCGCCTCCCGCGTGCCTACGCCTTCTGGGTCCGCTACCACGGGCCCTACGTCTTCGTGGCGGTCATCACGGTGCTCAAGGGGGTCATCGTGGCGAGCAACATGCTGACCACCCCCATCAACCCCATGGGCCACACTGACACCGAAGACCCCAGCATCATGATCCTCTCCTGCCACCCCAACTACCGCAATGGGCTGCTGTTCAACACCAGCATGGACTTGCTCCTCTCCATCGTGGGCTTCATCTTTGCCTACTTGGGCAAGGAGCTGCCCACCAACTACAATGAGGCTAAGTTCATCACCCTCAGCATGACCTTCTCCTTCACCTCCTCTGTCTCCCTCTGCACCTTCATGTCTGTCTACAATGGGGTGCTGGTCACCATCATGGACTTCTTGGTCACTGTGCTCAACTTCCTGGCTATCAGCCTGGGATACTTTGGCCCCAAGTGCTACATGATTCTCTTCTACCCGGAGCGCAACACAGCAGCCTACTTCAACAGCATGATCCAGGGCTACACCATGAGGAAGGACTAGCGCCACCCCCTGACCCTGGCATGGGGCGCTTGTGCCAGGAGTGGGGCAGAGCCTCCCTCCCTCAACTCCACAGGGACCAATACAGAACAATTGCCCCTGGCTGTCCCACCTTGCCCTGCTCCCAGTTGGCATTCCCCCAAGGTTCTCTGCCAATTTTACTCACCTAAGTTATGGGTGCCTAAAAATATCCACACTCTGTTCCTTTCCCTTGAGCGGTTTCTCTTGCCAGGCATTGCCACCTGCTTTGAGAAGAAATGACCCAACTTGACCCACACGAGGACAAAGTCTAAATGAGTAGCATCCAGCCGCCACCTGGCGGCCACAGGGGCACCTGCAGGTCCAGCTCATCCCCCTTCTTGCAGGTTCATCCTGGGGGTCTGGGCTGCGGTTGGTGGGAGCACAGAGCATGCTGCCCCCACCCCCGATGCCAGTCCCCATCCAGCTCACACCTTTGTGTCTCATTTCCCATTCCTGATGAGCTCAGTACCAGGTTTCTGTGCTCTCGTGAATAGATGGGTGGGCACACAGGTGGTTCTTAAGTGCTTGTGAATAAACCCCACCTGGGTAAAACGAGTGATCTCCCTTTTAGCTATCAGGGTCCCCTGTGAAAGGACGTGTGGCGTCAGAGAGACTCTGGTTTCCATCCCACCATTGCCCCTTTCAAGCTTG